TTTTAAAGAGAAACTTTTTTTTTAAGATTTTGTGAGAGAGAGGGAGAAAGCACACAAACTGGGGGAGAAGCAGAGGGAGAGGGAGAAAGAGACCCCCCCTCTGAGCAGGGAACCCGAACGAGGACTCGATCCCACGACCCTGAGATCCTGACCTGAGCCGAAGGCAGATGCTTTAACCGACTCAGCCACTGAGGCATCCCCACCCATCACCCTTTTCTGTTACATGTTTTATGATTTTTACATTTAACAGTTAATATACAGATTCAGTAAAAGTTAAGCTTCCGTCACTTTCAGCTGTACCATTCCAGGCTACTTCCTCGGGCTCCTGCATGAGCTCAGGCTCGGGTCAGATTGACCTGGGTTCAAACCCACAGTGGGGTCATGTCACAGCCCTGTGACAGGCAAGCTCCTACGGGAACTCTTGGAAACATGCCCGGGGCCATGGCGTGGGGAGGGGTAACTTGCCAGGCTGAAGGCCAGGGGTCCCCACGATGCCCAAAGGGCTGCCACAGGCACCCACATTCCAGAGACAGCCCCCTGCCCGGCTCATTTCATTAGAGATACTCGAACCAAAAACATATTTCCCTGTTGCATCCCAAAGTCTGGAGGCTGCAGGCTGAGGAAATGAACTCTGAAAACACTTTCCCTCAATGGGGATGTCATGTCAGGGCTCCCCGATGTCTCTGGCCCTATGGCCACAAAGACCGGAAGGAGACATCAGGAGGAACAGAAGCAGCCACCCAGCCGCACAGGGTCTAATCTACCTGTGCAGCCCCATGTCCCGACCCGAGTGTGTGTGTGTGTGTGTGTGTGTGTGTGTGTGTGTGTGTGTGAAGAGGGGTTATGTGGGGTGGGCTAACCCCATTCAAGAGCAGGCTGATGAGGGGTCAGATACCCAGTGGGCCGGTCATGTTCAAGGTCAAGGCTGGCTGGGTGGGTCGGGGTGTGGGCAGCTGCGAGCCTCTACCCAGGTTTATCCCGATCGCCCTGCAGGGATGGGTCACTGTCCCGCGTGCAGGGCTGTGCATGCACAGGTGTGTGTCTGACCTGCGAGCAGCAGGGGGACGGGGCAGGGGGACAGGGAGGCTGGCCGGGCAGGGCTGTGATGCTTCCGGGCCGGCTACCAGTCCCTGTCTTTGCAGACCACGGATGACATCGGGAGGAGCCTGGCGGACACCCGTTCCATCTCCAGGACCTGGGGCGTGACCCCACACGGGTCCCCAGGAGCAGGTGCTGGGGATTGCGGGGGAAGGCCTCCGACACCACCCAGACCACTGTCCCTGGTGGTCATTGACTGGATTGTGCTCCAGGAGCCGGAGCCCAAGGAGGCCGAGCCCAAGGCCGAGAAGCCTGGGGCTGGGTGCCTGTGGGTGTGTGGGGACGGGTCGGGGCTGACCCACAGGGAGGAGCCCCCAGAGGCTGGTGAGGGGCCAGGAGCAAAGACTGGACAAAGAGCGCCCATAGGGTGGACTGCATTCGGGGCGATGACCCAGGGAGGGCTCCTTCCTGGCTGCGGCTTCTCTGGGAGGCCCTGGGCTGGGCTCTCTCTTGCAAAGGCCCATGGAGAGCAGGCACGGGGGTGAGCTTTTCTCCTCCTCTCTCAGCTGCTCCACCATCTCAGGAGCTAGAGCCGGGCTCCACCTGTGTCTCTAGCTCGGGTGAGGTGCCAGGTGCAGGGGCAGAAGCCAGGCCAGATTCCATGGGGCTCTGCAAACACAGGAACTGTCACTCAGCTTGGAGGCATCACAGCCCTGCCCAACGTCCCCAATGTCCCCCTGGCCAGCCCCCTGCTGCTCCCAGATCAGACACACACCTGTGCGTGCACAGCCCAGAGCCTCCCAGAGATGCCCCAGGTAGGAAGGAGCCCTCCCTGGGACGTCTCCCCGACTGCAGTCCACCCGCTGGGCGCTCAGAGCCCAGTCTTTGCTCCAGGCCCCATACCAGCCTCCGGGGCTCCTCCCTGTGGGACCAGCCCCGACCCTTCCCCCCAACACACAGGCACCCAGCCCCGGTCTTCTCACCCTTGGGCTCGGCCTCTGTGGGCTCTCCGTGCTCCAGCCGGGTCAGCAGGTGGGCACGGCGCTCCAGGTCAGAACTGGGCATGTTGAGCTGCACATAGGCCACCAGCTGCTTGAGGCAGGGAACGTCTGGGGCTGACATAAGTCCTCCGAGCATGGTCCAGCCAGGTGCCCAGAACGGAGGCGATGGCCCTGGAGGTAGGCGGGCAGGAAGCAAAGTCAGTGGCCTGGCCTGCCCTTCCACACAGCCCCCTGGGGCAGTTCTGGGGATGCTCCATCCAGAGGCCAAGTCCCCCGAGCACACCCACACTGGCCATCCAGGCAGGGGCAGGTGTGGCCAGCAGGTGCGGGGGGCCGGCAGTCTGCATGGGAGGGAGCCCTCCATCACGGGTGTGAGCACCCCTGCCTTCCTCAGGGGAGCCTGCCCCATGCCTCTGTCTGTCTGGGGTCCCTCCTGCTGCACTGGAAATTCAAGGAGGGTGGGAAGGGGGTGCAGTGTCTGCTCTGTCCCGGCCCTGGGGCACCACAGAGGAGCTGCAGCAGTCCGTGAGGGAGGAGGGAACGGGCAGTGTCCCTCGGCCCAGCCCGCCTGGGCTCTCACGGCCCCTCGGCCCCCAGCCCCTGCTCCGACGGCTGCCTGACCCCCTGCAGGCCCATGGGGTCTCCTCACCGACACTATTCTCGGGGACGGCTGCCCGGCCTGTCCAGGCCCCACGTGCAGGCCCCCACGTGGGGGACCCAGTGTGAGGCCCCTATGTGCGCGGGTGGCCCTGGATCGGGTCAGGGCAGGTGGGGGCCCCAGCCTCCCCTCCGCTCCCTAGGCCCCGGGTCCGCAGCCTCGGCTGTCTCTCTCCTGTCCTGCAGGAGGGGCCCCCACACCGCCGCCCTCCAGCAGCCATGACAGACGCGGGGCAGCCAGGGCTCTGCCCAGCCCCCCAGCCCCGCCAAAGCCCCAGATGTCCCCCACCTTGGAGACAGGGGCTCTTCTTCATCCTAAGGCCCGTCATCCTTCCGACGATGAGAGCAGAGGGATCCCCATCTAGAGGAGGCCGGCAGGGCGTCCCACGCAAGGTCCTGTGCCCATCTCTGCTTTGTCGTCTAGGGTTCCCGGAGGACCCCCACCTAGAACAGAGGCCCGCGGGGCAGGGAGATTTGTCTGCCCTGTTCCCTGAATAATGCAAAATGTCTAGAAGGGGCTTCCTGTCCATGTGTGGAGTCAATGAAGCCCAACCAGCACCTTTCAGATGTCTGAGTGGGTCTGGGGCCCCTCTGCCAGCCCCCAGGGATCCCTGCTCTGGCTCCCCCCAGGATGGGAGCCCCAGATGGAATCTGAAACCTCGTCACAGCCGGGAATGCGGCTTTGCCCCAAACACAGGACACCGAGGCTTGGGGCAGAGAGCTCCTTCGCGGTGGAGAGGAACCGCCTCAGCCCCAGGCCACCCTGCCCGTGGGCCGGCCACAGGGTCGGGGACCGGTCCCGACAGTAACCCCGTGTGTGGGGTCAGGCCTCGTGGCACGCAGGGTCCCCAGGAGACACCTGAGGTTCAGAGAGGGGACGTGCCACGCCTGAGACACACAGCCCGCAGGTGAGGGGGAGCCGCTGGGCGGGACGGGGAGCCTGCTCACCTTTTGTGAGCAGCAGGTGTGGGAAGGGCTGGGGGGCGTTCCTTGGGAGGTGCTCCGGGAGAGGGGCCATGGGAGAGGGCCTGCCCCGGCTCCACCAGCTTGCTCAGGCTCTCAGCACGGACCGCCCACAGCCTCGGGCTCTCACCCAGTGGGAGGGTGGACTTCTGTTCACAATGGGGCTAATCTTTGGATAAAGGGGGATAATTCACAAAAGAGAAACTGCAAAAATATTCCTGTCTATGTCCCGAAGTGCAAACGAATATCAACAATTGGTTTGGATCATCTTACACGTGTGTGAAGGGTGATTTTGTACCTGACCAAGGCTGGGGCTGGGCCGGGTGTGTGTGTGTGTGAAGGGAGCAGCCCAGACTCCTTGGGTTGACATTATGGCCAGGTAAGGGGCACAGCCGTCGTGGCAGCCCGGGGGGTCAGTGACCTGGATGGCTTTGGGGCAGGAGACCCTCCTGGCCCTCCCCGAGCCCGGGCCTGGAGAGCCGTCGTCCCCACACTCCCACTGAGCCTGCACCAGCCCTTACTGGCTGCCTGCTGCACGGGCCCCACACTGGGCAGCCGTAGAGGGAGGTTCCTGTTGACCAGCTTCTCCCCAATTTCTTCCATGGGGCTCTGCAAAGACAGTGAGCTGGGGTGCACAGTCGGATCACAGCGGTGTCTGGCTGGCCTGGCTGGCTCTGGGCCTCCCTGTGTTACCTTTGGGTCCCTCCAGGCAAATGGCCAGAGGGGTCGGGGTGAGACCTGACCCCAGGTCTGCAGTGAAGGAAACGGCTCTCACTGTCGGCTGTCCTGAGACCACGTCCTCGGGACATCGGGATACAGCAGGATCGGAGCATCTCCAGCCAAGTGAACTGTTTGGAAGGGGGCTGTCTCTAGAGTGCGGGTGCCAGTGACAGACCTTGGGCATCTTGGGGACGCCCTGCCATCAGCCTGGCATGTCTCCCCCATCCCCCATGCTATGGCCCCAGGCAGGTTCCCAGGAGACAATGTCCACACCCCAGGACCCCGCTGCCTCCAACCTCTTCCTTCCTTCTCCCTTGTCACCTCCAGGGTCCATGCCCCCTTGACCCCCCTGGGGAGTTAGTTTGTGTGTTTGTGTATGTGTGTGTGTGTGCGCACAGAGCCTTGTGTGTATTTGTGCCCGTGCGAGGATGACCGGAGGAAAGGGCCCCACATGGGAGTGTGGGCAGCGGTGCTCCAGGATCTTAGGGGCTCTCATTCCCAAAGGAAACCCCATGGGAGGTGAAGCCCTGGCCTAGGAAGCCGGAACCCTCCCCGTTCCTCTAGCCTCTGTTCACCTGGTGCGTCCCAGGCCAGACTCTGCTTCCCCTGCCCTCAGTTTGCCGACTGTCCCACGAGGGGTTGGAGGAGGAACTCCATTAGCGTGGTTCTGGGTGGCCGGTCGGCTCCCACCTTTTGGGTGGACGTGGCGCAGGTGCACTCTGGGTGGGCGGGGTCTTCCCACCAACTGTCGTCGGAGGCAGGTGGATCCTGCGCAGGCGCGCACACGGCCCAGCAGACGGCGCATGCGCGGGACCCCACCTCCCAGCAGGCATGCGCAACACCGAGGGGCTCGCTGTGGGGTCGGTCCCACGGGTCCCGATCTCCACTGCCTAGTCATTGACCCTCATGTCCCCTTAGGCCAGGGGCCAGTCCCACTCCCGCCAGGCAGGGCCGCTGGACCGTGTGGACATGGAGACCTGGGGACCAGAGAGAAGTGAAACATACCCCCCACCTTGCCGTCCTGGCCGCCACGTTCCACTCCAATGTTCGTCCCGGTGCATAGCTGGGTCAGGGGAGGGGGAACGGGGACACGTCTGGGCAGGGAGGAGGTCAGGCCGCGTTTTTCTCCTCTACATCCCCTCCCCTGTCTTCCTGGCAGCACCCCGTCTCCCCAAGGTCCGGCGCTCAAACACTCTCATCTCCCTGCTTTAATCCCCAACACATCCTCCTGGGGTGGGAGTCACTGACCCCATCTTCAAAGTAGAAAACGGAGGTCCCGAGAGTTCCCATAGGAGCTTGCCAGTCACAGGGCTGTGACAGGGCCCTGCTGTGGGTTTGAACCCAGATCAACCTGACCCAAAGCCTGAGCTTCCAGAGGAGCCCGAGGAAGTAGCCTTTGAGCCCAGGCTTGGAGGTGAGGCCATCCTGGATGGGGGTGTTCTGAGGGGCAAAATCTTGAAGGGCTCCCTGGGGGTTAAAGGCCCTACAGAGGAGAGAGTGGGGTGAGGGGTGCACCCTGGGGAGCATGTCTAGACCAGATCATGCAGGGCTCTCTGGATGTTGGGCAAGGAGTCAGGGGACACTGCGGGTTGTGGGTTCAGGGGACACAGTCCAGGCAGTTTTATCAGAGCCACAGCATCCTAGACTTAGAAGGAGCTTGGTGGGCATGTTATTGCCCCCACTCAAGCGTGGATCCCCAAGCACCAGCCAGAGGTGAGGAGGCTGACGCAGTTTCCTCCTGTGTAGAGTGGGGGCCGTGGTGGGCGTCTGCGTCCTTCCAGGCCTGGGCATGCTGCCTGGAAGGTCCAGAGATGGCTTCTCGTCAGAGTAGCTAGCTGTTCCAGTGAGGTCAGGACCCAGAGAGGTCTGAGTGAGGAGACCAAAGGGATGCCCCACATGCCCAGTTCAGCAGGATGCTCTTGTACATGGTGTCCATCTTCATGTCCAGGCTGATGGGGATGAGGCAGCAGCGCCCACCTGCTGCGTGGAGAGCGGCAGCGAGGAGCTATGGTTGCAGACCCTGAGAGGCGGAGCTCGTGTGAGTCCGAGCCTGCCACAGATCTGATATGGAGGCTGAGGAGGTGGAGGTGCTGACAGAAGCTGAGAGGATGCCTGAGGTCTCCAGCGATGACTGGGAGGTCAACTCCGGAACTTGAGGAATGACAAGGCAAGCAGAAACACCAGACTGTGCAAGGCACCCCCTGTCAGCATCTAGCCCAGAAGCTTCTAGAGACTGAGTCTCCTTGGCCCCTTTGTGGCTGTGGAGTGGAGACCCAGGCTCCAGGAACAGATGTTTGTCAGGGAAAAGGGTGGGACAGTCACCTTTTCCTGGCCATCAGGGACCCTGACACAAAACACACGCTGACCTCCTCCACATCCGCATCGGGCTGGAGGAGCATGCAGAGCAGGTGGGCGATGTCCCTGCTGCGCAGGTAGGGGCTGCATCTGAGCTGGTCCCAGGACTTGGAGTGAGGGCTCTTTTTGGTCTTGGGTGTTGTGTTGGGGGTGTGGTGGCAGAATTGAAGGGCTGCGAAGGGGTACGTGCACCCCAATGTTTATAGCAGCAATGTCCACAATAGCCAAACTGTGGAAAGAGCCAAGATGTCCATCGACAGATGAATGGATAAAGAAGATGTGGTATATATACACAATGGAATATTATGCAGCCATCAAAAGGAATGAGATCTTGCCATTTGCAACGACGTGGATGGAACTAGAGGGTGTTTTGCTTAGTGAAACAAGTCAATCGGAGAAAGACATGTATCATATGACCTCACTGATATGAGGAATTCTTAATCTCAGGAAACAAACTGAGTGTTACTGGAGTGGTTGGGGGTGGGAGGGATGGGGTGGCTGGGTGATAGACACTGGGGAGGGTATGTGCTACGGTGAGCGCTGTGAATTGTTCAAGACTGTTAAATCACAGATCTGTACTTCTGAAACAAATAACGCAACATATTTTAAGAAAAAAGAAAAAGAAGAAGATAACAGGAGAGGAAGAATGAAGGGGAGTAAGTCAGAGGGGGAGACGAACCATGAGAGACGATGGACTCTGAAAAGGAAACTGAGGGTTCTAGAGGGGAGGAGGGTAGGGGGATGGGTTAGCCTGGTGATGGGTATTAAAGAGGGCACATTCTGCATGGAGCACTGGGTGTTATGAACAAACAATGAATCATGGAACACTACATCAAAAACTAATGATGTAATATATGGTGATTAACACAACAATAAAAAAATTTAAAAAAAAAGAATTGAAGGGCTGACACTGCATTGATCAGACACCCTGGGTGAATGGGTGCTCTTGGGTGTCCATGGGCACAGGTGGCTGTGACCCATGCATGGGAAGGTGTGAAGGAAGTGCACAGAAGACAGTGCCCTGGGCTATGCAGGGTTTTCTGCTCATGGGCAGTGCTCTTTGGCAAAATTCAGCTAGTCTTCTTGTTCCTTCAGCACAGAAGTCGCCTAAGGTCATGAGTGGTTCATGGGAAGCCAGGTCAGTGTGTTGCTGGGCATCATGCCTGGCAGGAGGAGAGGTTCAGCCTGAAATAACAGTCTGGGGGTGACCTGGAATGCCAGGTGAGGTGGAAATTGCCCAGGTAGCCTGATCCACTCCACTCGGCATTGCTTCTATACCCAACATCGCAGACCTGGACGACGGCCCTCTGGCTGGCTGGCATCTGGAATTGTTAGAATGTTCCTCTGGCTCAGTCAAAGGAGAAGATCCAAGTTAGTAGAGCAAAAGAAACTATGAAGATTAGGGCAGAGATAAACGGAAGAGAAGAGCACGTGAGAAAATTCAGTGAAAAGAACAGTTCTTTCTTTTGCAGATTTACCAAAATTGACAAGGAGACAAAAATGGAACCATGTTATAGCAACAAATTGGCTCCCTGAGATGAAGCAGATAATTCTGAGAAGCACAGGAACTACCAAAGTGACTCCAGAAGAAATGGAAACCCTGAGCAGACTTGTAATAAGTAAATAGACTGAAGCAGTAATGAGAACTTCCCAAGAATGAAAAGTCCAGAACCCGACGCTTTCCCTG